GCGTTATTTTGAGTCCTGTGATTCACACCTACTTGTTCATTTTGTGACTTGTATGTTTAGCCAATATAAACTAATATACCACAAATATGAAGGAGTTTAATAATTAATTACTAATAACCATTAATCATTATTACCTTTATAACATTTCCACCTTAGAATGTTGACCAGCAGTTAGAATGCTGCCCTTTATTTTATTTATTTATTTATTTATTTATTTATTTATTTATTTATTTATTTATTTATTTAAGTGTCCCCACAGTGTAATAATTTACACATTTGCCTAACAACCGAATGATCCCCAATTCAGTCATGGAAGGAAACACAAGTCCCCTGGATTGTGTCAGGAAAGGCATTCTGTATAAAAATCTCCCAGATTAAACATGTGGAGCTTCACACTGTGGCCACTAAAAGTAGCTTCAGATGAATAATAATAATTGTTTGACAAAGCTGACCTTTAGCTGTGATTGCATACTGAAAAAAGAAAGATAAAAGTCAAATATCTCACCATCACAACTTACTTTTACACAGAAATGTCACGCGTTCATTCACAGTTATTTCTGACAGAGAAAAAATTTTGTGGGGGTGTTTTCCCCAAAGGGGCATTTTTTTTTTTGAAACAGCAATTCCTCCTTCTCTTTATCAGCAAACAGGAAGTGTAAACACAATGCCTTCTGGGAAATGCTGTCGGGTCTACTAATGTGGGGTCATCATTAGTAAGTGGACACACCCTTCCTGGTATTCATTCCTGCTGCTGACTGTACATTTGTCTCAGTTTCAGACTCAGTGTCTCACTGTGTTTGACTAACATTTTGTATTTTGTTTCATTCCTTTTTTAGTTTCCCCGTCTCTTTCTGCCCGTTGACACCTCTCTGTCTCTCTTCCCTCCACGTCTTCTTTCTTTTCTTTTCTCTGACAGTGCTTTCAATACGTTTTTCCTCTTAAAAGTCTCCACTTATGGCTTGTTGTATCTCTCAAGGTGAAAGTTGCATGTTGTTTTCATACAGTCTATTTCTGTCCCCGTCTATCATTCCTTCTCCCTTTTCTCACCTTTTTTCTCCCCCTTTCCTTTTCTCCACCCCCATACTCTCTCTGTCTCACCTTAAAAGCAGATCTAGCACCTTATAAGAACCCAGATAAATAAACACACCAGTGCACCCAGTTTACCCAAGTTCATCCCTTTTTTTTTATAGTTTAACTCAAGTTTTTTAATTCTTTGAATTAAAAATGTAAAAACAGACATGCAGATTGATGTATAAAAAGTTACAGGAGTTTTCACTTTAAGTGTATGTTTGTTTGTTTTTTTTAAATACATGACAGTATATATATAAGCTTATATAATAATCACTTTGTAAACTGCAAGTGTCAGGCACACAAATCTCACTTGAGGATTATACAAAGTTATTTATGGCATCATTTATCAAAGGCATCTTTCGGAGCTATGAAGAATAAATAACATTCAGGAATATCTGTAATTACATCTGTACATTGTCCGCAGGCAAGTGAGTGTGTGTGAGTGTGACAGAGGAGCAGAAACAGACAGACTCAGAGATACAGTTGTCATTCTCCGGGATGTTTTGTGACTGGCAGACAGGTCTGACCTAGTTCTTCAGTCTACCAAAGGCTAAAGCACAGAAGCGAGTCAACAAGACTTCATAATCCTAGCGGTCGCTGAAGGGTATTTGAAGTTCACGTTGAAGTCCCGTTGTCGCGTCTGTGTTTTTGAAGATGGAAATATAATTTGATTTAATCCTTTCTCACTATGGTGGGACAAGAAATCCGTCTTTCCTTCAGTCTGTCATTCAGCATATCTTGACACTTGGTGGATTTGAGTCAATGACTTTTTCTCACAAAGAAGTTAATTACACTTACCAAGTTTACTCCTACTTTTTCCTATCTTTGTTTCTGACTTATCCTAAACCAAAAGTTTTAATTAAGGGTGCCACATTGATAGGATGGCTCCTAAAACACCACCTCTAATGGGCAGGAAATCTGAAGACAAATCTTAACCTAATAACTCATAACTAAATAACTAAAACATTTAAAATGACTAAAATAAAAATGTGTCCATTCAAGTTTAACTAGTTCCAACGCTCTAAAATCACATCGTTTTTTTTAGTTGTTAAAACCAACCTGGTCTTGAGATGTGGCATCTGTTCCTCCAGTATTAAATTGACTAAGTAAGATCCTTGATGATGATGATTCCTTTCAGATTCTTTTTGCCATAATATAATAACATGTCTATAGATGAAATTGTAACTAATTTATAATTTCAATATGCATAACTTGAGCATATAAAATCAATATTCAGTAACATCTGTCCAATGCTTGTGTTGAAGCAAAAGATCTCAACAACAAATCACCACATAGACATCATATCTTTGCTGTGGATAATCATCATCTGTACCTTTAATTAAGATAAAACTAAACGTTTGTGTGCAAAAGCGGGATCATGTAAGTGGCATTTACATGGTAATTTATTAAAGTTATCAGCTGGTTTATTTAGCATGGAGGTTGTTGTAAAATGAAGCAGGTTTAGTATGAGATTTGCTTGGACTCCAGATCACGACCAAGTTGTTGATTCTTTTGAACCAATTCTCATAGCTAAGAGCTGACGAAAAGCAAAGCAGAGCTGGAAGCATTTTAATGAATTCTATCTCACTTTACTGCTATTATTGATCACATTTAAATTCATGTCTTTATCTGTTGTGTCTTCCCCAAGTTTGCATATTTTAATCATATTTTGTACATTAAATAACAAATTATACATGCAAAGGGACACTAGTTTCTTTTTAATGAACACATCACCATCAGTCTTTAGGTTGTGTTACACAAATATCAGTGTTTGACACTATTTAGCTTTTTTTTAGTCGTTTTTGTCACCTTAAAATCAGGAGGTTGTTTATTTGTGGGCACTAGGAATGCAGAGTGATTTCACAGATCTGTGATCTTTGCCTATTGAATAGTGTAGTGTGTGTTGTAGAGATTAAAACAGGTTTAATCACAGAGCAGCTTCTAACAATCTGTCTGCCAGAAAGTCACACCAGGAGTCATTCACACACACACACACACACACACACACACAAACACAGCGTCCTCGCTGACACAGTCACTGGGTCACATCAGACAAATCCCATTTCCATACAGTGAATTGGTTATGACTGATGTTGGCCAGCGTATAAGCGATGGTGATAACAAACAGTCATTTGAAAGTAATTTAAAGCCTCAAGTCTTATCCTCATTGGTTTGGACTCAGCTGTCAGCCCCTCTGCTGAAGGCAAATTTTGCAACTACAGCACTACATAGCAGATAAACAAAATAAATGAGTCTAAATACTGGACTTATGAGTTTCCTTTCATATTAAACATAATTTAAATGACCAAAAAATACTATGAGCAATATTTATAATCTAATTATTTTTCAAAAATCGAGCTTCATCTCCAGTAAATACTCCATAACTCTAAGTGGTGCTGACTTAATGTAAAAACAATAAATACATGAATGCTGATTTGCCAGATCAGATCAGTTTGCTGCACTGGAAAGCTTTTAATTCCCCACAGTGGGCATAGTAGTGTGGGAGCTGGAGACCAGTTGGATTATTCCTCACTTTTATTCTTAATTTTATTGATGGTATTTTCCTATTAATCGGTTTCTTAAGCAATCACAAAAAAGAAACAAAAAGATTTCTAAAAATCTGAAGTAACAAATGACATTGTGCAGATACACAATGGAATAAGGTATACTGTGTAAAACAAAGAATACAGGTCAGTCCCTTTAAGTAAAACCTTAACTGGGTCTTTTAGTAGTAATCAGTAACTTCAGCTGAGCTAACATCGCCACAGCTGGGCAGCTTGTCAACCACACTGACATATCTGAATGAATGAACGGCTCTAATCATGAATCTTGTGTGTTTGTGTGTGTGTGTGTGTGTGTGGGAGGGTGAAGTCTCCCAGATGGCACCCAAAGGATTTCTCTCTCCAGGAATTAGACCACTGGGTTTAGTTGCATCAACGGCTTTCAGTGTAACAAACAAATCAAATCACTTCTATGACTTTGAGCCATAGATCCAGAGTACTACAAAACAACTGTTCCCATATATACAGGGCATATATGCAGGTACACAGAAACACTTTGTCTGGGTAATGATAGCCACAGGCAACTACAGCACACTCTGAATAACCTAATAGAAATTAAAATGTTACTGTAAGGTGTTATTTTCTCTATTCTTTCATGTACAGTTTGGCTTGAAAGGTTGATAAGAGGGAGCCTAAACTCACTATAACGCAAGGAAGTCTTCTGCTCACAAATTGACACCACTCAACTGACAAGAGCTACGCTACTTTTTAATATTAGATGTGCGTCATACTTTGTTTCATCAATATTTAATCACAAATGAACTTGACATCAGCTTGACAGTTAAGTTTTTTTTTCATTGTTTAACTCCTCAAAATTGAATAACTGAAGACCACCCGGTGAACTGAGATTGGTTCTAATTTTTTTCCTGCTGTGTCTCCGGATCATCCTGTATTGTTTTAATGGTTATAACCTCTTGTCTCCAGGAATGACAGTCCAGCCTCTGGGGGGGAGAACAGCACTCAATTAAAGCATTCAAATCTACACAGAGCTGTCCGAGATCATTGCCACAGCATATGTGAACAGTGACGGGGGCTGACAGCATGTCCTTAAAAGGGGGTTATAACCATCATTTTCAGTTATTTCTGTACCTTCTTGGAGGCAGTTTTACCAGTATTCATGAGCATTTCACCCTGGAGTGAATGGGAAAGTAGCCTGTAGCGTTTTAAAGGGATCTGGGCTACATTTTCTGGGTACGCTGCAGTGCACTGCTTTTCAATCAGAAAGAACTGCTTCACACTTTCCATTTGCTGAACATGAAAGCGCACACCCTTCACCAACTCACATTCTCATTATTCAGGTACAGACACACACGTATATAACGCACACGCACAGTATTTTTCTTTCCAAGACATACAAAGAGAACTTACCAGTCAAACTTAAGTCGAAGCCAGGCAGAACTGCTGTTCAGATCTTTGTCGAGGTATAAAATGAAGCCCAAATCCTTCAACGTGTTCACTTGCTCCGACTGGAGTTATGCTTTATTAATTTCGCAGGTAGAAATCAGTGGTTGGTGGGTGGTCATGAGCTCAACAGAGGCAAAAACCACCTACTGATACGACTACTTCTTTTCCTCTCTCGTACTCCTTTTTTTCCCCCCTGATGTAGAACGAGAGCAGCAGGTGTACAAGCAGGGATTTCTCTCTTTGTTAGATTTTTACTAGGCTTCTGTACAAATCCCTTCCTGGACTGCCAGAGAGATAAGAAAGTCTGTGATGATGAAAAATGGGTTGATGCCTCTTAAGTTGTATCCCAGAGATGGATTTCCAAAGAAAAACTGAGATTCAAATGTAAAAAAAAAAAACCCCACTCATCAGATAATTATCAGTTTTTACTAAAGTGGGTATTACAGTTGTCTCTTAGTTAGTAAGATTTTTATCAAAAAAGTAAAAGCTCCAGCTACTCCAGCAGTGGAGTTTTTACCCCAAAATGTCTTTGTCACCCTCTTTCTCTTCTCAGGTTGTCGAGGTTTTTCCGCAGGTGTGAATCCAACAGGTTTCGAGTCTCTCTTGTTCTCTTTTCCTCTCTCCCCTCTGATGTGGTTTTCTCATCCAAGACCCAAAAATGGTGAACCACAGCTGTCTGACCGCAGTCCTCTCTCACACAGGTCACTGCCCACTTCCTCTTCCTGTTATTCTGGTCAGTGTTGTCCGCTGGTGCTCCCAGCTACTGCTCCTTTTCCTGTCCTGGAGGGGAAAACAGAAAGAGATGGAGGTATGGGGAGGTATTGGGTGGATTGGTGAAAAGACAGAAAAAAAGGGAGAGAGCAAGAGAAGCAGAGAGGGAGTGCATATGTCAAAACAGCTCAAAAACACTAGGAGAGGCAGAGAAAGCAGCCGGCTCATGTTCATGAAGCAGATGGAGTGAGTGTGTGAGATAGGAGAAGGGAGGGAGGGTGATGGAGAGTAAGGTGAGAGAGGCGTTACTTCTCGGTCCTTCTCAGAGAGCGGGAGAGCGCCGGGGAGTGGGGGAGAGATTTATTATTCATGTGTGTGAGATAAGGATTAAGTTAAACAGGTTATTGGGGATAATCCTTAGAGATTTCCCCACATGAGGCTAGTAAATATTTCAGAGGGCTGACTTTGTGTGTGTGTGTGAGTGTATCTGACAGAGAGATGTCGTCTAAGCTGGAAAATGAGATGAGAGGGACGCCTTGCCACACGCACGCACGCTCACACACTCCTTATCTTACTCCCCCCGTCTCTTCGGGGGTGAGTTGTTCGTCAGTAATTTGGCGAATTGGACAGGAAAGCCGGCTGTGTGTTTTTAAATTGAAACCTCTCCTGTGGCAATAGCAGTCCAGCCTTTCTTTTTCACTCCCATCTCACCCTCCCTCCCTCCCTCCCTCTTTTTCCCTCATCTTTTTCTCATTCTCCCCGCTTGCTCTGTCTCTTGTTTCTTTTATATTTTATTTTGCAGTTTCAGCTCAGTTCTACATAAAATATTGTCATTTCATCTGGGAGCAGCTTTTCCAGACATCATACATCAACATTTACTTTAAATCTACTTTATGTAGTACTTGTGTATGTACGGTCTCTCTCTTGCTCTCAGTTCTCTGATCTGATTAGTGAGGGCAATACTGTTATTTTTTTCTCTCTAGACACAGTCCAAACTTTAAGACAAAAGGACTGTTTGTCATTGCTTTTCAAATAAGAAACAGACGGCCTTCACAAAAACAATGCAAGCTTCTTCTAATCAGGAACTTCTATAATTAATGAAGGATTTTCTGTGAAGCCTGGGCTGTGTATGTTCTATACATGAGGATTACAGACTTTACAAAACAGACAAATGTCATGTATGAGGCCACACCTCAGAAAGCAGCCCCACCCACAGCCCTAATTTAAGTTTTTTTCACTATGCAAACACAATGAAAAATCTGCTAGTTTCTCTGTATTGCTAAAACTGACATCAGCACTGCATGAAGCACAGCAACAGTGCAAAAAGCTCGAGGAGAAAAGAAGTGCAGAGGTGTGAGATGGCTAAAATCTGACCAATCAAAATGATAGGAGCACAAATTTCTGGCCATTTAATTTGCAGTGTGAATACCTTGTGTGTGCAGCTTGCACTATTATAAAAACATCATACTGCCTTTGCACTCGAGAGTCTTGTCTGCTCTGTTCAGTATTCTTGTTCAACCCTGGTGAACCACCCTTCCTAAGTGTTTTCTTGTTTCTGACCAAGAAGTAACATCTACCTTCAGGGAAAATCTTTCACCCGCTTCACTCCTTCTCTGTCGGAAAATGACTGTGTGTGTGTGTGTATGTGTGTGTGTGAGAGAGAGAAAGAGATGGACTGTCATTTTAAAAAGATAAGAAATAAGAAACTAGTGACTTGAATGGCAGCTGCACATCAGGGGGAACAAAGAAAGCTTGAACGATGGTGTTTTAAAATGTGTCGTTTTTTTTTTGTTAGTCCATCGTTAAGATTGCATCCTTTACATTGTGTGCAACATTTAATGACATTTGCATGCTCACATCATAACCATCTTTAAATCGCCCATTAATTGGGCTCAGTTTTACAGAGCAGTGGCAGTGATGTACGTGAATAAAGGCAACAAGCGCAGAAATAAGAGAGGAAGATTTTTTCCTCGTGTTGGCTGTCTGTTTTCTTTCAGTAAACAAGGCGACATGTACAAGACTGATGGTTGTCTCAAGAACAAACAAACAAAATGTCACAAATATGATGGAAACTCTCTTGTTTACACATCTCTTTCCCTCTACCCCTCAGTGTATCTCTGTCATTCTGTCTTTTCAAAAATCCTCATGCTCTTGGCCTACTTTCCTAAATAACACTTTGGCACTAAAAATTGCATCCTCGTTCCACTCATGACATGTAAGGAAACGGGCGATATTCCCCCACTAGTGGTTTGACTGGAAGAAGACCATTGGGGGCTGAACATCAAGGAGCACTGAGAGGGAAGAAAGAGAAGGATGAGCAAGAGAGGAATATGTCTAACATGACAGATGTTTTTTAAATAGTGTCTATGTGCCTAGAGGGTCCACTTTCATCATTAACACATATAATGTTTTTCCTATAAATATAGATCCCTGTTGAAAACACTACCTCAAAGGTGGGTCCACATGATACAGGACTTTTCCTACTTATCTGTTCCAGTATGTTCCCACTGCTCATAATGATTAAAAGCAACAATGTTGCTGAAAAAGAAACACGTTCCCTATTAGGTTCACAAATATCATTCTTTTAAGGGTTCAGTTGCAGCTGACCTTTAAGCAAATTCAGCTTTTAAAAGTAAAAGTAAGTTGTTAGAATTTCAGAGTGAATTATTGGCTTTTTAGTTTGTCCAGCTGACTCCCACAGGCGTCAACAAGGCATTTATTTTAAATGAAGATCCACCCGATTTATTTTGACTTAGTTTTCAATAATAAATTAAAAGTTTGAAAGCCACGCTCGTACTGTAAGGAACCATATGTTTTTTCCCTTCAAATAATTTTTGTTTTTCAAAACTGCCAACAGGGACTTGTAAATTTTGTTTGTTTGTTAATTTATAAGCAGAATACTTCTTTAGGAGAAAAACTGCTCACAACTGGGCTTGATTTATATCTGTGTAATTTTTGCACAATGAATTCTGCTGCTTCATGACTCTGCGGCTACACCAACCATGTAACATATGCAGACACATGCTACATTATTATGTTACTACCACAATAAGTGAAAGTGGTTACGCCGACATATGCACTGCTAAGATCTGCTCAGATAAACCAGTCTCTTGGTTTTATTTTTATCTTTTACCTACACTAGCATTTGGTATTTAGCATTTTGCCAGCATCAGCGGTAACACCTCTCCTTAAATACTCTGCTGTCTCAATCGTTTTTTATTGTAAGCAAAGCATGCAACTGTGCTGTCATTATTGTAGTGAAGGAGTCAGTCAAAGCAAATCCAGCATTAGTTCTTATCTGCTGGTTATGTTGGTTTGGTTCTGCTTGGTTTGGTCCCACCTCAACATACAGAATCCATGAGTTTGGGTCTCTGTTGGTTGTTCTGTTTGATCTTAATCTTGATTAATTTCTAGCTTTATTATTAATACTTTTGGAGTCTAGTTAGTGTGTCTCTGTTTCGTTGAGATTGTGGTGGGTTTTCTGTAGCATCGTGTTTTAGTTTTACTTGCTGACTGTCTTCCCTTTATTGCTTTCAGCAGCTCTTTATTAGTTTCATCTGCATTTAATTTACACTCCTATGTTAAACCCCCCATTAGTGTGTGTCTATAAATACTTCTATAATTCCTTTGTTCAGTATTGCATCATCCATTTAGCTTGGTATCTGCAGCAGTTTGTTCCTGAGCTTGTGATCCTAGTGATTTTTGGATTTCTTGATTCCCTGGACTTTGCCTTTTCTGTTTTCTTGGATTAGAAGATTTTGGACTGTGCATTTCTTTGACTTATTAGCAATAAATGTTTATTTTTGTACATCTTCCTCCTGCGCCCTACACTCGACATAGAAATTTATTGTCATGACGAGCTATGTCGAGCGGGCAAGAATGATGAAATCTATCTAAACACTGAAAAGAGACATAAAAATTAAGTCATTTTGTTAATGAGCAGTTTAGAAGATAAATGTCTGCATTTGTTAAGCTTTCTGTGCCTCAAATCTTTGGCTCATTCTCTAAAAGAGTGCATCTTCCTTTAAATTATAGTTCCCATTTATATTTTCTTTGTTGTTGTTTTGGACAGTTTTCATCTACTCTTGAGACAAGCATCATATTTTATCCTCCTCAACCCTTCATTATAAGAAACAACCATACAACCATGAATCACAACAAATTCCATTCCCTGCATTGTTATCTATAAGCACCAGGCAGCACATAGTTAGAAAAGCAACAGACTAGAGCATTGTAATCTGCCCATCTGCCCATCCAGTATATCAGAATATTACCTAATTATCACATAAAACTAAAATGATCACCTTACGCGTTTATGCCTCCAACAGTCAGTTTAACTTCATGTCAGTGTGGACGACTGTCTAGAAGAATTTAAAGCAATTTAATAGGTGGGCATCAAATCGGTATCAAATCAAATTTAAGTATAGTGTGAGAACAGTAACGGCATTGAATTAGATTTTTTTCCAGAATAATAAGATGCCACAGAGAAGTGGACCTTTTATCATGTGGACATAAATCATCACATCATTATCATTAGACATCTGCATGAAATTTCTTGAGGAAGGAAAAACATGTTTGTGAGGTCACTTGACATTTGATTACTAAAGTCTATTGAGGTTTTCCATATATATGACCACTAACCACATGAAGTAAACATGGTGACAATATAGGATCAAGTGAATAAAGCACCAGTCACAGAAACCTAGAGACCAGTCGGTGACCCCTTGGCAACCATCTGTTGCTAGGGAAAAATGTGTATTCTGTAACTAGTCTGCAAAAACATCCTTTTTCTGCTTTGGTCACAAGCAAATTGTTGCATACAAATTTTAATTGGAACCAACTGGCTTGTCTATAAACACCGGTGAAACTGTTTATAGACAAGTGTGAAATATGAGAAAAATAATACACAAACTGGACCATAATGGTGACCATTTGACTTTCAATTAAATATGCTTGTGAAACATGTGGGATGTAGTGCTGAGGCAAAACTCTTGCTTTGAAGGCTAACCTCTATTTCTGCTTTGAGTTGACATTTGTCCTAGTTTTACTATACTGCTCAGGAAGTAGTAAGTATTTGCAGACAAACATGAAAAAAAACCCATAGGCAACCATGCCAGCAACCAAGCAATCAATACGAGGTTTTCATTGTAGCACCTTCATTGCAACCAGTTTCACCCAGCAAGCTCCAGGAACCACTGGTAAGTGGTTGGGCGATAGAAGTTTCCTTACTGGT